CCATGCTTGGCATGGCCTGGCTGACTTAGCCTTGGCCAATGCCCCATAGCCTAAACCTGCAGGTCACAGGGTCTACCAGGGCAGACCTCATGCTCCCTACATGGCGATGGGGCTGGGGCCCAGAAGAGAGGCCACACCTTGTGCCCCTATTCTCGCACCCAAGTTCCTAAGGCGGTTCTCTGCCCCACCTGCTGACTGGCCAGCCTCCCAGCTCTGGGTCAGAGACCGAAGGCTAACACGCACTCCAGATGGTCCCTGTGAACTTGGATATGGACTTCCCGTGACGGGTAGGAGGGCTGGCTGAGGGCACTGCAATGTTCCTGTTGATACATTAGCAGGGAGCCATCTGGGGCTCAAACCTGGGCCTTCTCATTTTATAGTGAGGTGGAGGTGGAAGGGGGGGCTACGGAATCCTTCTGTGGACACAGAGCTCACTTCATCGTTACCAGCTTTGGACTTTGATGTGCCTCAGTTTCTTCATTTGTAAACAGGGAATAATATGGGGACCTAGTTTGTAGTACTATCACTTTCTGGACCCCCCTTTCCCAACCACAGGCAACCAGGCCCCTCTACTTACTGGACCCAGGGACCCCATCACTGCCCCCTCTGCAGGCTCCCAACCCCCAACCCACAGAACACCAAGTGAATGAAACTTTCTTTGCTGTTCAGTGGTTTCCCATCCCTGAGCTCACTCCTCTGAACAAAGAGAGAAACCTGACTACCGTTTTGCCTCCTAGACTGCCTTGTCTAGCTACATCACCGTTTCCAAGTCTTGTCGCCTCCTTCTAGTCCCTCTGCAGCAGCTCATTTGCAGATAGCCCCCTCTTCCTTGAAATGCCCTTGTCCTCAGCGTCCATGAAGCCACTCCGTTGGGGTTCTCCCTTTGCCCCGGTTGCTCCTGCCCTTTCTTGACACCTTTCCTTCCCCTCTCAGTGACCTCACCCCTTCCTCAGCTTCAGTTCCCCCCATGCACCTAAGGCTGCATGTCTCCAAACAAAATCTCTACCCAGCCCCGGAGACACACACATCTGTTGAGGCAACATCCCTTGAGAGTCAGTAATACCTGAGACTTGAAGGACATTAGGAGGATTTAACACAACAAAGCATGCGGACTTTCCCAACATGCTGCCTGGCCTAGTAGATGCTTAGCAAATGGTAAGTATTATTTGCGATTTTAATTTTAAAATTAGCACCATCTCAATAGGCAGAAATACTGATGTGAAAAGAGCAGACAAAACTCTCATCCAGGGATTGAAGTTCTTTCCTCAGCCTCTGGGGTTAGTAGGTTGGAAACCGCACACGGATCACCGCAGGCCAGCCAGGCTAGGAACCAGCCCCTAAATGCCATCTCCAAGTCCCCTAATTAATTAGTTAGTGTTCCAGCGATTATGCCTGTTGACAACCTTGGTGTCTCTTGGCAAAGGTGGGTCAGCCCAAGCAAGCCCAGACTTATTGTGGCAAATCCCACTGGCTTTTGGGATGTGAGACATGGTCCCCACACAGCAGAAGCAGTGCCTCGTTAAAGAGACTTAATTGGGAGGATGAAAGCGGGGAACAAGGTCCTCTCAGGCAAGTGGCTGATGGCCTTGGTGCTGTAGGCCACAGAAAGGCCTCAAAACACCCCATAATGCCCAGCCCTGCCTGCATCCTATTGGGGTTGATACAGGTAAGGAGGTGGCTCTGAAAATCACATCCCTGAGAACAGGCTTATTATGCAATGACTGTATTCTCCCCAGTCTAGATAAAGAGACCTGGGTTGCAATGAGGGGGACTTTGGTTAGAAACCCAGAAGAACAATGCCTATTTGAGGCAGGCAGCGGGGAAGAGAGGAGCCTGGACTTACACATGGGGCCTCCGTAAGGGCAAGGCTGCTCACTCAGACCACCTCCTGCCATCTCTCCATTATCTGCCCCAGAGAAACACCCATCAAAGACCCACAGCACTCCTTGAGTCTTCCCCACCCCAGGGCGGCCCCCAGCTCCGCCTTTCTCCATTGCCCCAGGTAGGCCAGGTGGTTGAGCGAGGGGAGCACCCCGGAAGATGCAGATGCAGCATTTCTGGGGAGCTCTGGACTGGGAGTGGCCTCTGGGGTTTCCTCCCATATCAGCACCTCGCTTCTGTGACTTCGCGCTGGTCCCTTGGCTGCTCTGGGCATCTATTTCCCCAGCAGAGCCAGCAGGGTGGAAAACTGGATGATCTAGAAAGCCCTTCCAACAGGGATAGTCTCTGATTCTGTGCTGTGGGGTTTCTTGGACCTGGGTCCCTCCCCTATGCAGACAGGTAGAGCCATGACAGCTATCTGAAGCTTCTGAACACAGTGGTGCCTCCAAGTGCACAGGGCATTCGGACCCTCACTTAGAACCTCAGACTTTGCCCGACTGTACAGACACAGTGGCTACAGGGAGTGCAGGGTCCAGCCCTTTCAGGACGGGGATGCTAAGACCACCGAGAAGTGCCCTCCCTCCCATCTTCAGAATTTCCAGGCAACCTGGAGCCCTGGGATCCATCTGGACTTCCCAGCAATCAGGTAATAGCTGTGCAGCTTTCACGGGGGGTGGGGAATAGGGTGGGAGGGGTGTCCCTGGCTTTATGACAAAGCTGGGTCCTGTGGACGTGAGTACTGCCGGGAAAGGTCACACACCATGTTTCCCGTCCTCGTGTGGTTTGGCCCCCAGGATAGGAGGTCCCTGTCCTAGCTTCCTCTGAAAACTTGGGGGTTCAGTGGAGAGAAGCAACTGCAGTCCTTACCGTCCTAGGACTGCAGGGCCTGCAGGCTGGGTCACCAACTCCTACTCTAAGACCCTGGGTCTCTAGTCCTCACAGTCCAGGTCGAACACCCCAGACCCCTTAATTTCACCTTCCCTGACTTCCCTCTGGAAACTAATACCCCTCCAGCCACGTTTCTCTCGAGGACAAAGCAGGGTCAGTCCTGCAAATCACAAATTCAGCAGTGCCTATCTGGCCACAGCTTCCATCTGCCCGTGAACTCAGTGACTCCAAATGCCAAGTTCACTGTCTGACCCCCAGGTCTGCCTCTCCATCACACCTTGCTTTCCCATCAGCTTGCTCGCTCATCTTCACCCCCCACCCCTTGCTAAGATTCCAGGATCTGCTGCTTCTCCTGATTGCTCATCAACCTCCCGAATGCCCCACCCAGCTGGAAGAAACCCGCTGAGGGAGCCCTGGGGTCCCTCCAGGAGCTGGTCCCCAGCACCTCTGGGTAGACAGGCCCTGGTCACACCCACAGGCCTGTGTCCTCTCTCAGCTTTCCCCTCTGCTGACCCCACTGCGCTTCCTTGGTCAGCTGTCTCTCCCTCTCACTCCTCTGAATGTCTAGAACCTTCTTTACAGTCCTCAAACCGCAGACCTCCCCCTTCCCCACCCTCTTGCTTTCTCTCCACTATCTTAAGGACACTGACCAGAGCTACCAGAACCACTTCCTTAGCCTCTCCGCCCTGGGACCCCACCCCCGACTTGATCTCCCTCGAACCCGGTAAAGCAGGGAGAGCTCTCTCCCTGCTGAGGTGAGTCCCTGGGATCCCTGCCTATGCTCTGCCTCTGTCCGCTTCATGGACTCAGCTCTCCCACCCGCCTGCTCCCACTTGTCTTGGTGCCTTCCCTTTTGCATTACACAAGCGCCACGCTACCATTTAAGAAAGGGGGAAATACACCAGTCTCTCTTGATCCCACACCTCATTCCAGCTGTGGGTCTGTTTCCCCTTTTTCCTTGGCACCAAGCTTCTGGGCCTAGCATTGCACTCTGCCACCCGGGTTCCTCACTCGTCAGCTGGGCCCGCCCCGCAGGACAGGGTTTGCTTTCACTGCTTGAGAAACCGATGGACACTCTTTCACCGCACAGAGCTTCACCTCTCAGGCGTGTCTGACGCTGCGATCAGCCCACCCACCACCCCTGAATCGCACTTGGCTCTGTCCTTACCTCCCTGGTCACTCGTCCTTAGATATCGCCCCCTGCCAGGGGCCCTCTTTTCTCCACAGCCTCCTTGGTTGATCCCACCCAGCACCCTTGATTCCATTACTGTTTTTATACTGGTGGCCCCACTTCACTCCCCTAGACCCAGAGCCAACTTCCCCTGGGCTCCTCAAACTCCACGTGTCCACCCAACGCAACCCAACCCCTCAGTCCGGCCCCTCCTCATGTCTCCATCTTGTTACGTGGTACCTACATCTGCCTGGTTGTTGAAAATCAGAGAGCTGGGTGCACATCCTGCGGCTCCTCTCCTTCCCACCACATGCACGTCCTCAGTTCTGATGAAGCTGCCTCCTAACTCTCTCTGAAAGGACCTACTTCTCTCGATGCCCACTGCCAACAGCCTGGTCCAAGCTGCCATCATCTCTTGCTGGACGCTCGCCACAGTCTCCTGATGGCTCCTTCTCCTCCAAAGCTCAAACCCAGCCTCACCATACAGCCACGGGGATCGTTCAAAATCAGGACTCCGTTGTCCTGCTTTGCACAGTCCTTCTGATGACACTGGCCCTCTCTGCTTCGGCTTCCAAGTTCCCAGCACCAGCTGGGCCCAGGCCCCCTTGCCTGGCACATCTCACCTTGCTCTACTCTCTGCTTGAGATGGAGACTTCCCTCAGCTCTTGGAACATGCGGTATGCTGCCTCACCTCGGAAACTTCACCCCAGGTGACGCCAGCCTATGTGTCCTCTCACCCCACACTACACGCCTGGTCAATTCTAGCCCATCCTCCAGGCTCCAGGAAATGCCACTTCCCTCTAGGCTGGGTTTGGACCCCCTATTGCCTTCCATACCCAGCTGAATTGGTCCCACCCTAACACTTCTCACCCTTCATTTTTCTATTCCCTGTTTCATTGTTTTGTTCACTGCTTGACCTAAGCTCTGAGAGGTCAGTCTTATTTATGGTTCTAACCCCAGTGCCTAGCCTAGTGCTAAGGAGGCAGCACTGAATCAGTACTTGTTAATTATGGCCAAACTGCACCCTCCCATCCTGCCCTTAAGCCCCTGCCCCACTGACCTCTGACATCTGTGGGAAAAGGCTGATGGCCAGCGGCAGGGCCAGGCCAAAAGCTGCCAGGCACACGAGGCTTTGGACAGGGAGAAGCAGCCGGGGCCGCGCCTGCAGGAGAGCCGTCCTGTGGGAGAGAGAGAAGGAGGCAGCCCTGAGAGACCCGGAGACAGGGTAAGCAGGGACCCAGCCCCAGGGCAGCACGATTCTGGGCCAGTACCAGCCCGTAGCTAAACAGTTGTGGTGGAATTCTGTCTTCGGGGCCTTCCCCAGTTGGCACCCCTCTCCCTAGGCCCTGCCCCGAAGGACATTGCTGGTTGAACTCTCAACCATAAATCATAAATGAGCACTTATAGGGGGCCCTCCTGCATTCCACGTGTGCCCAGCCCTGTGTGAAGTAGGCCACATGTCGGGTAGATGATAGAAGGGGCCGTTGGCTCCTGCTCCTGGGGGGACATACGAGAGAGTAAGATCATCCCGGAAGGCAGCACATAATGAAACAGCAAACAAACCGGAGGAGGTGACAAGTTCAGGAGAGGAGACAAATTACACATAGACACACACGCACACACACACACATACATACACATGCATGAACACATGTATTATACACATGTATACAAACATGCACACACACATATGCACAGCCGGAAGGGGTTGACCCTCTTCTGTGTGTGGGAACAGAACACACCCCACCGGTCACCTCGTCAACTTCAATCCAAGAGCCACAGAGGGAAGCAGTGACTTGTCCAAGGCCAAGACCAAGTTTGTAGGAGGCCAGCAGGGCTGCTCCCTGGACTTCTGACTCCCTGTGAGTGCTGACACCCCGTGCTGCTCCTGACTTCCCCCTTCAGGACCCTTTGCCAGCTTCACCATCAGCACGTCACAGCTGGCACCCACTCCCCATGGTAAGCTTCTGAGGTAGGGTTCCTAGGCAGGAGAGGGGCATGAAAAACCTCCCTCCAGGCCCTGGGTCCCCCAGCTCCCTGACAAAACAGGCTCTCCAGATAGAGTGGGGGCCATACCAGCTGGCAAAGACAACTTCACCATGTTGTCCATCAGAGCTTTACGTCTTGTGTCATCCAGCAGGCCCATTGGTGAAGACCACCAAGCATTCTATTTGGGAAGGGCTGGGGCGGGACATGCCAGCAGAATGGAGGCCTGCACGATTTGCCAGAGGACGTTGCGGGGACACTAGCTCTGACCTCAGTCACTACGTCAGCCTCCACGTGACTGTGACTGGCTCCTGGTACAAAGAGGATATAATCAGGACTCTTGCCTCTCCCCCATGGGAACAGGGCTGACTGCAGGTAAACCCCACACCACCTTCACCTCCTGGGACAAGAAGCCCAGGAGCACTTGGCCTTGAGCAGACAGAAACAGTGGGAGCAGCAGTTCTCAACCTCCATGTCTAGGCATCTGGTTAAAAATGATGACTCCCAAGGACCCTTTACCCCCATGAGATCCTGATTCAGTTGGTACAACACCTGGGAACCTGCATTTCAAACAACTCTCTGGGAGTCTAAAACAGGTGATCCCACACTTCTGATTAACCCTGGCCCAGGATGTTTCTGCTAAGGTACCAATAAGATCCAATTACTTATAAATCAATGCAAGTAAAAGGCCTGTCCAGAGTAAATGCGTTGTTATTGCTGATGTTATGTTAAGGAAGGAGGGATCCTGGTGGCTGGGCTCTCCTCCAGCCCTTCCCACTGGTGCAGACCCCAAGATCTGTCCAGCTGTTGAATGAATCCTGAATTGAGCTACTGAAGGGGGAAGTTTCCACAGCATGAAGAGCAGCAGGACAATGGTGCTTAAATCAAGTTCAAGCCTGTCTGACCTTCCTCCTCAAGTCAGGTGCCCCAGCCAAGCCTCAGACCCACCACGGACTCAGCCCAAGGCCTCCTGGGCTTCCATGGGAGTCATGGAGAGGTGGGGAGTAAGGCCTAGACGGACTCTGAGATCTGTTCAACTCAGATCAACTTCTCCAGCAGCACAAGGAGGTGGGACACAAGGCCTGGAGCCCCAGCTCTGGAGAGGCTGTGGGAGGCAGGGCTGTCCTACTGTCCCAGTGGCACTGACTGGGCCTCAGTCCCTGAGGGGGATCAGAGAAGGGGGAATGGGACAGACAGAGGGGTGTGAAGGCCCTAGAGGCATAGCCCCAAGGGTCACTGTGGGCAAAGAAGGTGACGGGGAGAAAGAAGGTGGCAGGTGGTGGGCAGGCTACGAACTCAATCCTTGGTAACTCCTGACAGTGACACCAGACAGACCTTCCATGTGGGGCTGTGACCTTGGCTTCTCTCTCATGGGTGGCTGGCTGAAGTCCCCACTGGGAATGGGGTCCAGGAAGCCCCAGGCCTGTGCTTCAATTCAGGAAGGAGGCTAAAGAGGGGCTTCCCAAGTCCCAACCCAGAGCAGGCGGGAGAGTGAACACAGCAGGACAGGGGGAGGAGAGGAGGAGAGGGAGAAGGCAGGGAGGGATTGGAAAGGCAGCTGGGGGAGTTAAAATATGCAGATGGAGAGATGTGCGAATGCCTGGGAGAAAGGAAAGACCCGGATCCCAAGGAATGAGGGAGGCAGGAGCGGCCTCAAGAACAGCCACGGAGGAAGTGGCCTGAACCCCAACCTGCTGAGACCCAGTCTGGTGGGAGGGCGAACTCCAGGGCCAGGGATGCAGGGATGCAGGGGAGAGAGCTGCTGCACCTGCCTGTGAGTTGGGAAGGTTATGGGGGAGGGGGTTGATAGCCCAGCCTGGGGTCTAAAACCAGCTTCCTCCTCAGCACGATAAATCTGTGAAGTGCGAAGACGTATGTTGGGGGGGGGGTGTACCCCCTCAGAGGGAGGCCCGTGCTAGGAGCTAAGGCTCCTTTGCTTCTGACTTCAGTCGCTTTTCCTTTCAGTCTCAGAGACTGGGACACCTGAACATGTCTGGTGCCTACCTCTCTTACCCTGGCAGGAAACCCAGGGACATCTGAGGGCTCCTCTCAGAGAGGATAAACTGAGGCCAGAGGCAAAGCAAGCCAGGCCCCAGCCCCACACAACAGCTTGTCTCCCTACTGCTGTGCATTCATTCCATCAGCACTTGAAGCAGTTTTAGTTTGCGCTCCATTAATTTACAAGTAGGCTGCTTTGTAAGTGTTCTTTGGTCTTTTTTTCCTGGCTGTCCTGACTCCCTCACCCAACCAGGGCTCCCTAGGGTGGGAGCTGTCTCCCCCACAAGCCTCCTCAGCAGAAGCCCTGCCACTGGCATCCCAGCAAGGAAAGGCAATGGGGTGTCCAATGGGGCTCCTGCAAAGAGCCAAGAGCCTGCTGGATGGTGCAAAATGCAAAGCCCTAGGATGAACAAGGTGACAAAGGGGGCAGTGTTGTTATTCTCCAGGTGGGAAACTGAGGCTGAGGGAGTCTCTTGGACCAACCTGGCCTGAAAATGATGGAGCAAGCACCCAGATTTCATTTTCCTACCAGGAGCCTCAGCTGGTGCTGCTACTCTGCCCTGGCTCGCCCACCACCCAGTCTTGTAGTCCCCCAATATATGTGAGAGTAAGTAAGTCTCGGCGGGCACAGATTGGGTCTTGTTCATTTTTATATTCCTGGGGGAACTTGGGTTGGACTATTTTTCCTCCCCAGAGACCCTCCAAGAGGCTTCAGAGAAAGGTCAATCAAGGACAAGGCCAACCTGTCTCTACCTGCCTGAGGGGCTTCTTTGGACCTTGAGCTGAGCCAGACTCATGGCAGCCTGAACTCTGGGCCAGGGAGGTTCAGAACTAGAACCATCCCACCCCACCTCCATGCCTCTCAAAGCCAAGTTGAAGCCCCCAAACCAATGGGATGCCAACCATCACTCCACTTTCTACAAACCCAACTCAGATGCCAACCGGGAAGGCATCACAGACTACATTTCCCCCCAGCAAACTTCAGGCTCAGGATTCAACAGCCTAGAAGACAGAAGCCCTACCTTCCTCATTTGCCCTGCGGTGTCCTTGTTTGTACTTACAGTCCCCAATTATTTGGAGACAGCCTCAGTTTACGAGGCAGCTACCTATACAAGGGTCAGGGGCACTAAGGTAATTGCTCTCCCAGAATCTTATTTATTTTTGCAACTTGCATATGAGATTCATTTTCTTATATCCCAGTGCTCAACACACCATGCCCGCTGCTTAGGCACCTTCCACCTTCCACCTCCCCCTTCTTCCATGGTGAGAAAGGGATCATCTCCTTGGCTGGACACAGGCCCCTCATCAGCTGGGCCTGATGAGCACGCTTTGCTTCTGTCGGGCTGGACTCCTTCTTGTCCACAAAACAGGCCCACACCCCACCCGGAAAGCCGTAGCCCCTCTCCTCTGGACCAGCCCTCCTTGCTGCTGGGCCCATAGTGCACCCCCTCCTCAAGGTCATCTTGGTCCCATTCACACACCATCCGGTCCCACCTGCAGCTGACCTGTGTGTGGGTCACACCCATCTCCCTTATCAAAATACAGGCCCCCAAATCTGCTTCTCCTCAGTCTACACACATGGCAGGACCCAAAGACATGCTGATTGCATGATGTCATCTGAAGACTAAAGAGACAGCCAAGCAGGCAGGAAGCGCCCAGCTTTGGAGCCGTATTCCTGGGCCGCTTTTGGCTCTGCCATTATGGGGTGAATGGCTGTGAGCAGATAATAAGACCTCTCTTTGCCTTCCTTTCCTCATCTGTAAAATGGGAAGCCATACTTACCTCATTGCACTATTATGAAGCTTAGATGACTCATTTTGTTCATTCATTCATTCGACACTCACTGAGCACCTACTATGTGCCAGGAACTGTGCTAGATGCTTTGCAGGCCAGTAAATAGAAGGAATTTACTTGCCTCTATGGAGACTACATTCTAGTGGAGCACAGATAATAGACAACTAGATAAAGACTCTCGGATATTGATAAATGCTGCGAATAAAAATAAGACAGTGTGGGTGGCCAGTTAGCTCAGGTGGTTAGAGCATGGTGCTCGTAACACCAAGGTTGTCAGTTCGATTCCCACATGGGCCAGTGAGCTGCACCCTCCACAACTAGATTGAAAACAACGACTTGACTTGGAGCTGATGGGTCCTGGAAAAACACACTGTTCCCTAATAAAGTTTAAAAAAAGATAAAAATAAAAATAAGGCAGTGTGAGGAGAGAACGGGGTAGTGTCTATTACCTTGATGGGGTGGTCAGAGAGGGCCTCTCTGAGATGGCGTTTGGGCAGAGGCCTGGCTGAGAGAGGACTGGGGTGCTTAATAAATGTTAGCTATTATTATAATTGGTAGTGTGGGAAGAAGACGGTCTCCAAACTGGAGAGAAGACCCTGCCCCAGAACCCCAGATAGAGCACCCCAACCCTGTCCTTACCCTATACTGCCTCCAAGCCCAACCTTGCGGCCTCGATGTGCCCCCTCCCAGGCTGAGCCCCCAGGAGGGAGCTCATTTTTACCTGTATGAGCCAAGGGTCCTCACCTCCAGGATTTTATTCAACTTGTTCCCCCTACCTAGACCCTTCCCTGCTCCTGTCCTCCTAGACTTCCCCTAGTCCTCCGGGCCTGCCCAAACCTCCATGATCAGCCCTGGGCCCTCCCTCCCTCTCTGTTCAGCCACTCCTTCAAGCAGCATTTCAGCCTTCACGATTCAATTTCACACTCATTAATTAACAGAATCACTCTATCACTGTTTTTATTATTGTGTTCCCTCATTTCTTTATAGTCATGACAAATATGTGTTCCATCCCTCTGAGAGAGGCAGGGAGGTTGGTGCTGTTCGTGTTTTATAAATGGAGGAACTGAGGCTCTGTGAAGCAGTGACTTGCCTCATGGTAGATGCTTGGGACAGGTGGTGCTGGCCCCCAACATCTATTCTTTCTACCACAATCTTCAGACTCTCTTCACAATCGGTCCTGCACTGTGCACTAATAGGGAGTGCATGCACACACACACACACACACACACACACACACACACACACACACACACACTTGTGCACACACACATGCACCCCAGCTCCTCAGGGCAGGGAGAGCCTTCCTAGCACGGGATCCTGCATAGTAAAAGTCCATGAATTCTCACACATTCTAGCAGCATTGCCTGGCAGAGCCTGAACCTGGCGGGCTGCCAGCTGCCCCTCTGTCCCATGTCCTGGGCCAGCCGGTCCCTTTCCCTCTCCCCTTGGTGGCCCCTCTGTCCTGGCTGCCCCAACTCACTTCTCCAGCATGGACATGACGATTGGAGGGAGCACCAGGATGGGCATGGGAAGGACCACTCGCGTCAGCGCCGTCTCCAGCAGGGCCTGAGGGGCAAGCAGAGGCTGTGGTAAGTGGGGGTCCCGGGGCAGGGGACAGCTGCCTGGCAGCAAATCCCACCCCACAGCCCCTAGGGGTGTGTGTCACTGCTAAGCACATCTGGCCAAGTGGAATAATTCACGGAATTGCTCACATAGCCGTATTCCAAACAACAGAAAAAAGCCACCCCTGTCTTCCCACTACACACATTTGAAGGGCAGATCCCTGTCACCTGCCATGTGTGTGAATGACGGGGCCCAGAGGCAGTGCAGAAAGTAGAGGACTCAGTGGCACTCTGAGCCCCTTGCCCCTCACGAGCCTTGAATGGGCATTCACGTTCCCTAAGGCAGTGGGGAGGGAAGGACAGAGCTAACAGAGGGGTCTTCCCACACGGGAGGCTTGTAGAGAAAGCCTCACTGACAGAGGTGAGGCTCGGTCCGGGCCCCACGTGGGAGCTGAGGAGGGACAGTGGCTAGAGCAGAGGGCAGTGCTCGGCTACCTCACAGCTGACACCCCTGTCCCCGTACTCGGAAGCCAGAGCAGGACGAGCCGCTACTGCCATTAGGATGAAGGCCGGAAAGCACAGGGAGATGTACAGACTAGATTTAAAACGAAAATGACAATTGCTGAAGTGGGTGAGGCAGGTGAAACAGGGCCTTCTTGTAACAAAATACCGCCCCCCATGGCCTCCCACAAGCCTGACATCCCTGCACCTCAGCCACAGTCACTCCCTGTGAGGTGTCACTTGCAGAAGTGCCTATTAGCACAGAGCCACAAAGCACCCGCTCCCACACTTCCTCTTCTTACCCAGGAGGCTAGGGAAGCCCAGGAGGCAGGGCCCTAGGTCCTGGGGAGGGAAAGGAAGGCTCTGGAGGGGTCTCCTCTGCCCTCATCAATTAACAGATAAGAGAAGCCAGATCCTTAGGGGCTGGGGCACGAGATGGGGCGGTTCACAGTGGCGAGGAGAGGGTGATCGCAGAGAAGCAGGGATGCCCAGGGGACAGGAGCGGCTGGGCCAGGCCTTGAGGCCTCGACTCATACAGATGGGAGGTGGGAGCAGGGTGAGAAGGAGCGCGACAAAGGGTGCGGTGGACAACAGCCAGCCCCTGAGGCATGAAAACATTTAGGGGAAGCAAACACCCTCCCTGTTGCTGCCCCCCCATCGCCCTCCACCCCCTAGCTCCCCGGAGCCCCAGGACAACCCACATGTCTGGCTGCGATCCTGGAGGAGCCCACGAGGTTGCCATCAGCATCCAGGACATCGATCCCCTCCTCTAGCTCCCCGTACCGCATCAGGACCACGTTGCAGATGTTGGCGCTGGCTGGAGAAGGAAGCAACGGGGAGCAGGAGTGAGAGGAGAGGATGACATTCTACCTGGTGGAAAAGACCACTGGGCTCCACCCTCACCGCAGCCTCCTCGGCCCAAGCAACCAAGTTCTGAATAAATGCCGAGTCCACCTTCAAATGCAGGGCTGCCTATCAGCCTGCTGAGGGATTGGGGCCCTTGGGAAAAGTGGAGAATAACCAGTGTTAGGAAAGGGGAACTGTTCAGGGCTTAGGGAGTGACCAGTTATCAAGGAGGATGCTTTCCTCTCCTCGGGGACAGGCCCCGCAGGCAGGCTAAGTGGATGTCCGTCTTGGGGGGCTCTCTGGCCCAAAGCCACATCCCCCACTGGGGCCTGATGCCCCACTATCAGCAGCTCAGTCTCTTGGGCTGCCTTTCTGGGCATCCTCTTAAAACGCCAGCCCACCACAGTCAGCCCCTTGCTCCTCAGAGTGAAGCAAGTTCCCAGAGACATGCTTCCCTGACAGCAGGTGCCAGAGCAGGCAGGATCCTGTGTTCACCCAGCATCGCCCCCTCATCATATGGATGGAAAATGGAGGCTCAGAGAAAGGGGTGACTTATCTCAGGTCCCACAGCAAGGTGGGACAGAGCTGAAAGGTTACAGAGCCTGATCCCGTAGATACCCAGGAGATGGGAGGGTTCGAGGGAGGCGGGGGAGGGGGGTCAGGCAGAGCTAAAGGCATACCTTCTACATTCTTGCTTCAGATGTTTGGGTGTCCTCCTTTGGCCATGTCCACCCATCTCAGCTGAGATCATGGGGACCTGGGCTGAGGGGAGGGCCCCTGGCTCCTCAGTTAAGCTCTGGATGCCAGCATTTGGGGGCCACCCATCAGCAGGTGACTTGCAACAGGGAACCCTTTTGGGCTCCTCTCATCTGGGACTCACACGGCTGGGACTGGGCTTGAGGCTGGGTGTGAGCACTGACCTCGCCTGAACTCCTCCAGCCCTGCTGTAGGATGGAAGTGGGGGGACTTGGGGGTGGTGGGCAGGTGGGAAGTGGGGGGTGACAAATGTGGAGCCCGCCTGCTTCACTCCTCCCCCCAAAGCGCCTTGCTGTGTTTAAAGTTTTAATTTTTGCTAATTAATGTCAATTAATTTTGTATAATGAGTGTTTAATTTTGGGGAGTGTGTGAGCCTGGGAGCGACTGCAGTTCTGGGCTGTGAACACTGATTAGCATCAACACCTGCTGCTTCCCCACTCCCTCCAGTGGGGGGGAGCACCAGGGTTTGGGGAGCTGGAGGGCAGCAGGGCCTAGTGGGCAGGTGGAGTGGGAGGAGGACCACAGATGCTCCTGGTGCCTGAGCCAACACTGAGGAGCAGAGAGGTCCAAGGTGCTTGCAGTTGGGGGACATGGTTCTGCAGGTGAGAGGTGGCATGAGACCCTGGGGGTCTCTGAGCCTCAGTCTCCTGTTTCAATAAAGTGGGGAGGTGGAATAAATAGACGGGAAGACCGAGAGGCTGTGCAGTCTTTGGAGAGAAAAACAGGAGACCAAATACAGTTTTAAAATGTATTTACAGCACATATGCCATCTTTGACTAGCTCTCGTGTTTCCACACGACACTCAGCAGCAGTGGTAACCACGGGCGGACACCTCTTCTGTGTTGGGCCAGGCCTGTCCTCACAGCAGGCACCCTCACCTGTCTCACGCAGTGGCTCTCAACCAGGGGTGATTTTGTGAGACATTTGGCAACATTTGGACATCCTGGGGTGGGGTGTTGCTACAGGCATCTAGTGGGTAGGGACCAGAGATGCTGCTAAACACCCTACAATGCACAGGACAGCCCCCACAACAAAGAATTATCCAGCTCAAAACGTCACTAGTTCTGACGTTGAAAAACCCGTCTTACATCCAGAGACTGACAGAATCTGAGGTAAAGGAAGAGAGGTTGGGAGCTAGGCTTCAATTCCAATCCTGACCCAGAATCTCCTCCTCCTCATCCTCAGAAGCGATCTCCTGCCAGCTCCCCAACCAGGGCTGCACGAGGGGAACCTCCAGCGTGGCCTTGGGAAGGGGCACCTGGCCTGTGTTGGTGACATGCCCTCTAGTGGTGGAAGGAATAATCTGCATGCCTCACCCTCTGGGCCTGCCAGGCCCGCAGTTCCCGGGAGATCCAATAAAATCACTGGAGAGTTTACTGGGGTTTTCTCCCCCTGGAAGGCATCAATCTCTGCCCTTTGAGCACCCCTCCCACCAGCACCACCACCGTCCCAGGAAAGGCAAGGCCACAGGAATGTGGCCCAGGGACAAGCATCTGCTTTAAGTCAGGGTCCACCAGCTTACTCTGCAAACGCGACCCCCTGCCCACTTCCCTGGGTGTAAAAGGAAGGGCTGCATGTAGTGTCTCCACAGGATCTCTGGGCTCACAGCCTCTACACCCGTGCCTACGCCAGGTGGAGGGAAGCCAGGGATGGCTGGGACAGCTCTAGCCCCAAATGTGTGTGTGAGAGTAGGAGACACAGACAGACAAAGAGAAGAGAGAGCATGGATTTGGAGGTGATGGCCGACCAGCCCCAGGCTCATGGTGGCATCTCGCTTGCTCGCTGCAATGCAGCCATACCAGGACAGAAGAGGACTTTGGTTCAAACACAAAGTGACTTGAGACAAAAGATAAAAATCCAGCCTCCTTTCCCTCAGACAGCCCCTCCAGGACACTTTTCAGAATGACAAAGATGCCCTTTCATCTAAGCTGCCTGGAAAGAAAAGACAGAGATCACCCTAAAATCCACCTCAGAATGATGGCACACACCCAGGCTCCTCCCTTGGACCCCCCATCATTCTTACTGCTCACTGAAATGGCACATGCCCTGTAATCGCTTCTGTCGACTGTGTATACTGGTTGTCCACTTATTGAGCGCCTGCCCTTAGCATAGGTTACTAGCCATCCCTGCCTCTGAGCAGTGAGGATGCTGGCCTGCTTCAGCGATTTCATTTCCATAATCTCATCCAGAACGTTCAATTACACTGTATTCCTTTCAAACCTTCCCTGGTCCCTCCCATCCCACTCCTGGCAAGTCCGGCTCCTGTACCACGGACACTGAGAGCCTATGCAAATAAGAAAGAGAGACCAACGATGGGCCACAGCTCTCCTTTCTAGCACTTTACCAAGATCTACTATTGACAGTATCAGCAGGTTAATTAAGCAGTCTGTTAGTGATCATGTTAAGAAAGCTGGCACATTTTCAACTCAGATTGACACCATTCAAGACTCAGGCATAACTGATGTTGGTGCAGTTGATGTTGGGAGATGTCACGGGATGAGAGAGAGAATGAGACAGAGAGATGGCTTCACGCTGATGGCAAGCTCGGTGTCAGGTCCTGAGGAAAATGTGCTCTTGACTGCTGCAGATGTTCTCACATCAGACCCATCGTGATGCAAAATCCTGCCAATTGTGAACAGCTAATGAAGCACCCCGTGTCAAAGGGACAGTGTGGAAAGAAAGAGCGGTAGACAGAAGACAAATGTGCAAGAAAGTTCTCAAAGAGAAGACTACAGGGGAGCTTGTCCGCTGAACTAGCACAGGAACGGACACAAATCAACAGAGTTAATAGTCCAGAGACATACCCACCTATAGAGGAAATGAGTTTGTGGTTCAGCGATTGTATCAACTCACAGGCAAAAGACCATTCAAATATGCGAGTGAAGCACTCGGCTATTCATTTAGGGAAAATAAAACACCATAACTCCTCTATTCTAAGATGCATTTTCTCATATTTTAATGTTTTCAAAATCATGATCTGCTTTACAATCGGTGTTGCAGGGGGGCTTGTTTGCTTCCCATTACGACTGCCTGGGCACGGGTGAACTTAGCCATGGGTAGAGGTATCTGTTCATTCAAGTGTCACCTCAGTTGCTTACAGCAATCCACACAGAATTTGAACTTAAACTTAGATTCCTAATTGTCGCCTAAGACATCTTTTTAAAACTTACACTATAATGGAGCACGGACATGAAAAGTTATTGTACATGCGGAAGATCGTCTGCCAGATACCAGGCAATGCAATTAAAGGCAGCAGAAATTGCCAAACCATAGATAGCTACCCTAAAGAAATGCTTGCCCATATGCACAAAGAGACATTTACAAGGATGTTAATTATAGCACTGTTTGTAAGAGTAAATAATTAGAAACAACCTAAATGTCCACCATTTAGGGAACTTACATGGGAAGCTCTCCAAAACAAACTTATATGAAAAGAGCTACTGAGTATGTACAGGATGGTATACTGAACGTAAAACCCCGTAACTGCTATACACACAGCTGTGTGCACATAAATCCACAGGTGACGTTTTAGAAGGTTTGCACCTCACAGAGTGATTGATCTCCTTGGGGAAAAAGCCAAAATTTGGGAATAAGGGGATGATGAAGGACTTCCACTTTTTTGCCCTAAAATTCTCTATACTGCTTACATTTTTACAGTGAGAATATAATCATGCTTTACTTGTCTAAAAATTGAAAAGAAATGGCCAAACTTCTTGAAGTAGATTATAAAAATGTGAATGCCAGCCGCGACTGGTATGACCTATCCGTGGGTCCTATATTTAGGCATCTATATGTCAGAAACTACCTAAAGAAGCAGATTCAGTTCAGGAATATTTTTTCCTGCAAGTCAAGAAAAAAAAATGGAACCACAAGTATAATCAAACAGGAACCGCAGACACAAAATTCCCAATATTCTTTTGTGTGCTTTGAAATTATACTGTCGATGTTCAAGGGGCTGAAAGAGTCAAGACTAGAGACATGGATGACAAAAAGCAGTGGTGGCCATGATGCCATTTAACTACCAATGTCCAAAAGAGAACTGGAAAATGTGAAGAAGGCAGAGACTCAAACTGCGGCATTGAGGCAGGTGCCTTGGATTAAATGTATAAGGAACGCTTGTTTATTCCTTCAAATGAAGATGAAATACAGCCCTCTCCTCTTCTGAATGGCTATTTAGTGCCTCTTGTAACTGAGGCATCTTAGAATTGAGAAATA